GGGGTAAATCTGCCGATGAATATAGACAGTTGCTTAGATACATATATATGTTGGAAACTGTGTATCCAAATTCTTATATAAGGATGCATAAGTCGGATAAAAATGAGTTCATGTATCTGTTCATAGCATTAAGGCCATTAATGATGTGTTTTGACTTCTGTAGACCAATAGTTGTTGTTGACGGTTCACATCTTGGTGGAGCTTACTAAGGAACTTTTGTATCAGCAAGTACGCTTGATGGTACATGTATGATTATTGTATTAGAATTTATAAATATTTGTCTCATAACAATTATTTATTGTATTTGATATTTTATATATGGATAGTTGTGTATCTATAAATTAACAAGCATGTGCGCTATTTAATAGTAATATGAGTTAGCTTATGGAGTGGTGGACATGAAAAATAATTGTTCATTGACATGATTCTTTTAACAGTTTAAAAGTGCATTTGGAGAGAGGGAAAAATGTGTGTTGTATCAGATAGAAATGAAAGCATAATGAAGAGTGTAAGTACTATTTTTCCAAATGTTCTTCATTTTGCATGCATATGGCACCTTTGGAAAAATGTTTGTTCATACTACAAGAGAAGCAGAAACATACTAAGTGATGTGTTCTATTCAATGGTCAAGGTTTAAAGAAAAACGGATTTTGACAAATGATGGCTAAAGTGATTAAAATTGACAATCGGATTAAGATGTACCTTGATGTTGTTGGTTATGAAAAGTGGTCAAGAGTTCATGCAACAGTAAACATGGGGAGAATGATGACTTCTAACATAACGGAATGTATCAATAGTTGCCTTGTTGAGGCGCGACAACTACTTATATTAGAATTTTTGAACAAGTTAGAATTCTATTCGATTCTTGAAACTATAAAAATAGAGAAATAACATCCTATACAAAGGAAATATTAGGAAGGAGATTTGAAGAGTTATTGATTCTAAATGCTTCTAAATGTTCAAAAATGAAGTTATGTACCAATAAATAAACTATCATGTATCTGAAATTGATTGTCATTTAGTTGTTGTGTGTATAAAATTGAGTTAATTGATTTGTGATTTATGTCTAACTTTTTAATCTTACCAGGTTGTACAATCTACTGAATTTATTTATTTAGTGTATGAAGGTGGGCGAAGATACGTTGTTTGCCTTGAGAGAAAAATCTGTAATTGTGAAAGATTTCATCTAGACAAGATACCTTGTGCGCACGCAATTGCTATTTTGAAGAAGAAAAATATTATAGATATACATTCCTACTGCTCAGATTACTATGAGTCAGCTGCATTAGCAAACATATATGAAGTTTCGATGATTTCAATGCCAGATAAGGAGGATTGGTCAGCATCGGAGTTTGTTTTGAAAAAAAATCATCTTGCCACCTAGGTACAAAAGGATGGCTGGACGAACAAGGAAAAGAAGGAAGAAAAATTAAGATGAAAAGATAAGCACAAAGACAAATCGTTGTGGATAAGAAGGTCACAACCGAAGAACTTGTACTTTCTTTCCAAAAGAAGATTGTCAATTGTCTTTGTTGGGGTTACTGTTATGTTTCAGATACATTATGTTAAGATTATGTGTTGTCATTTTTTTTTGCTTTTTTCACTTTACCTTTATAAAACATTACGGTCTACTATTAGTTGGTGAAATTTAGTTACAATAATTTGAAATGTTAAGATTTTCAATCTTGTGTTTATTTTTGTAACACATTAAGTTTCAAATACCTTTTTAAACAATGTATCATTAGTTATTTGATAAGTATATTATTTTGTGTTTATGGGGATTGTACCAATCAATAAAATTTCAAATACATTTTTATATAATATATCGTGGTCTAATTGAATAATGATGTGTCTTATACAATAAAGTTGTTAAAATATAAGTATGTATCACAATAAGTAATAAATAATTTATCAATGCGACTGGATAAATGAATGAGCCAGCAACTAATTACAAGAAATTGACCAAATGTATCAGCATAAATGAAGAAGAAACTAATTAGAATTGATTTATAAACTACATTGCATTGGTTATGTGTCAAAGTATCAGCTCCTACCAGAACTACAATAAATGTCGAGGTATGGCCCAAAAATAAAAATTTTAAACAACTCGATACTAATGAGAATAAATAATGTTGTATGTTTATGAAATAATGAATCTGATACATAAGTTTATTCCATTTTTGTATTAAATTATATACAACAAATGTGTACAACAATCCATATTGTCAATAACAGCTGAAAAAATTAGAAGTTGATGTCAAAATAAATAAGTTTTTAGAGAATCACTCTAACGCTTGGGTACAAATATATGAAAAACAATAAAAATAAAAACTTTAAAACTAGAGTTAATGTATCTCAAAAATAATAACACTGTAAAAAAGTGTCTAACAACTGATAAATAAACTCTATTCAACATTGATCAAATTTTCTTCAACTGGTGCTATGAAATGACTTTTAGGCATTGTTGGATCATCATTTTCACTAACGTATCTTGTCTTAGCCTTTTCAGTAACGTATTTCATAATAGGGCACCATATCGTGTACAAAGGTATTGTGAACGGAAACCATTTTTTGAAATAGAGATCTCATCGGTAAGGATCTCAGCAAAGGCAACTACAAACATTCCACAGTCCCTTAAAAAATGAGAAATATACATTATAACAATAAAAAATGAGAAATACTTCAAGCTATCGCTTTCTTGTTGCATAATGTCTTGTACGAATTCAGCTTCAAATTCGTGTTGTAGTCCCAAAAACATGTCAGTTTGCTTGTCATTGTAAGCATCCAATGATGACCAGTCGGTTCGCTCCGGTTGATAAAAAAAATCATTGTTATGAAGGTAAGATGGCATCATTGTAGCCAACTTTTTTTTATCTCAATGATACTTTTATTCTTGTACTCATTGATGAATCGTACACGCGTATGAGCCTCATTTTTAAAGCAACAACAGCCAACAGCCAACACCTAATGAAACTCTCCATCTGAGTGCACCGGAATGTATACATCAGCAACTAGATGCCATGGTAATCCAGTCGGAATGGAAAATTATTTGATTATATTTTTAATTGTCCTCTCGAATGCGGATACAACAGGCCCGCGCGCCATGTGCTCTTGCGTACTTAAATTATCATTAGGTGGACTACAGTAGTACCTTGTGTGTGCATCATTAATAAATGTCTTGAATAAGCAATTGACTTAGGTGAGTCTGTATTCATTGGGGCTGCAGAGTTTTGACTCCTTCCTTAAGAAGTAAAAAACTACATCGATGTGCTGCAACGTAAATGAAAAATAAAACAAAATGTTAGTCAATATGATAGAGCACAACAATCACAAAATTATATAATGTATATCGTATGATTTGAGTTTGTATGCATTAAAAAGACTATATTGATACAAAATATCAATTTATCATAAATAATGTATATTTTGTATCGTACCTCATCAGTCCAGGATTTTTTTGACTGAGATATGACATAAAATCAATTTTTATCCCTGAAAAAAGCAACTACAAAGTCCATGTGCTCAAATTCAAATGAAGCTGATTTGGCTTTGTATTTATCATCTTTTGACTTCCTATATATATATATTAAAAGTCAATACAAGTGAAAACGGTATGATATTTTGCTATTTAGAAATATTAAAGTGTTACTTACTTGTTATCATGAGTTTTAAGGAGGCCCTTAGAAATTCACTTGGAATATTTTTTCAATAAATTTGACGGAGGTTGGTAAGAAATATCACATCCATCAAATGGGGAGCTCGGACGAACATCTTCTTTTTCCTTTGTCACTGGATCCAAATTCAGTCAAATAAGGTGATTTCAAAATCTTTGATGGCATTCTATTTCGTTGAACAAGGATCTACGATTGTTCATACACGACCATCTCATTGCCCGATGTTTTCATGGGTAACTTATTGTCTGACACCGGTTGATGTGTTTCAGTTAACGGATCTGACTTGACAGCACTCAATGGTTGAACATTCAAAGGAGTTTAAAGGCCAGAAATAAGTGTGTCTATAGCTTCTTGGGTTTCAGAAGAAATGGATGTCCATATGGTGGAATCCTATATTTTTTTGAGCAATAATAAAAAAAATTGCATCATTCAATAACTAATAAACATGCGATGAATATATTTAGAATTTACCGATGTATCAATGTTTACTGGCACTTTGTCTATAAGTGGAATGTTATGTTGCAATTTATCAGCAGCAACTTGATCCACAGTTACTTGTTCAAATTTTTTGGTGCCAACCTCTACTACATCATCCAGATTTGTTATAACAAAAAAAGATTGTTATAATGATACAATGAATTATAAATAGATTTATACATAAACTTGTACTTACAATAATTTCCTTGGATATATCCTCACCAACTCTTTGATCATTTAATGTATTATCATAATATGTATATTAGTATATAAGTCAAATAATAATGTATCAAAAGTTGACACTTATACTACATCAGTTTTGAATAAATATTTTTTTGAAGTATCAACATAATGTATCTAAAAAAATTAAGAATGTATCATAAAATTCAAGCTTTAATTGGATGATTGAGCTAATGTATCAAAAAGGTGTGAGATACTTTTAAGAATATTGATACTTTAAATAAATGTATATGATACTTACCTTTACTCCCTCTACAACATCATCATGAGTGGTTATACAACAGATTTTGATATAATGATACATTGAATGAGTAAATATGTCATATACATAAACTTATACTTACAATAACTTTCTTAGATACACTTCGTTCAGCAGGAACATTGTCACGATCCAGGGGTACACCCTAGACGTAACATGGCATACAAGACCCCGAGAGGCCTCATATAAGCCACTTAGTTTTCATAACATAAGATAATATAATTTAGCGAAAAGTTAAAACATTTTCAACAATATCAAAGTCTTTATAAAATGAAGCGAAAGTCTAATACACTTGTCTCAAACCATCTAAAACATGAATATCTTTGGGGCATAGCCCATACAATAGTTCAAACATAAAATGTAAGACATAAGGAAATGATGGTCAAATCCTCGAATGCTACGAGAACTCACCAATCTTTAAATCTTGCTCTACTATGATCCTAGCCACGGGGATGGAAGTTGATATCGATGGACCCTACATTTGGATAAGAAATGTAGGCAAGAATATGCATTAGTACAAAGATGCACTAAATATGATAGCTTGCATAAACAACATAGGCATAACATAAGCATTAGTCAACATAAGGCATAAGTCATAAGCATAAGAGTTAGACAATATAAGTCATAAGCATAATCAATGCACATAAATCATCATAAAGTAAGAGGAATACTTCTTGAAGTAACCTCAACTTATCTTTAGTCAAAACTTGGGTCATCCACCTCTAGTCATACATATCAAGGAAGGCAATCAAGCAACAATCCAAGCTAATCATCATCATAACAAGCAAATCTCATATTAAAACATATTTACGATACTTTCTTGAAATAACCTTGTTTCATCATAACTTTGCTAACTTGATTAGGGACTAGTCCCTCCTTAGCTTTTTCTACTATCCATGAAAGAGTACTACTTTACTAATCCAAGCTAAGTCATTATCCATGAATGGTTACTATTTACCAATTCAAGGCTATCAAGGAAAAACACCTCATTATGCTAGACTAAGTTATCATGGAAAGCACTTTCCTATGCAAGTCCAAGCTATTCAAGGAAGGATACTATTGCTCAATCCAAGCTACCAATGAAATGGTTTGTCCTTACCAGGTCAAGCTACCATGTAAAGCATCCTATCATGCTTAGTTCAAGCTAACCATTGGAAGGGTACTATTGTTCAATCCAAGGCTATCCATGAGATCTACTAACTCAAGCTACCAAGCATGGTCTTGTCTTACCAAGTCAAGCTATTCATGAAAGAAGCATCTTATTATGCTAATTCAAGCTAAGTCTTATCAATAATAGTTCATAGATTGTTTGACTCATTTTAGGTGAGCAAGTCTTTCAACCTAGAATCATTCTATGTGAGAAAACCTTTCACATTCATACATCTATAGAGTAGATCATGTGGGTATATCGTTCCACAACAATTCTATCTACAATTCAACAATCATCATCTAGCTTTACTCCCAAAGCCTTACTAATCATCATTCATCATACATGCTTTAGTCTCAAGACAATTCTAATCTCAAAACCTACAAGTCATAATTCATCATGTATACTTTAATCTCAATCAATTCATATCTATATGTTTTAGCCTCAATCAATTCATGTTTATATACTCTAATCTCAAGCAATCTACAATGTATCTCATCAATCCTAGAAGAATACATTTTCCCCTTTCATGGCATAAAATTCACTTACATCAATTTCATCTTTCTAGACATGGGTATATGTAAATTCATCCTAAAAACATGTAATTTTATCAATTCAATTATAAACAATCATAATCCACTCAATTGGATCAAAATTCATAACATTAGAAGAAACCCTAACTAGAATTGGTGAATTTTTCTTCTAAATTGGGGAAATCATGGAGGCTCCATGGATGAAAAGCTATCATACCTTGTTAACAAATCTTACAAATGCTTGAGGATTGGAGACTTGACCTTGATCCTAGCTTGAACTCTTTCTTCTTCTTCAAGTTTTAGAGAGAGAAATATTTGAGAGGAAGAGCTTTGGGATTTCTTTTGGGGGTTTTGGAAATAATGACTTGAATGGGTGAACTTAAGGTCAAAATAATTTATATAGGTGTTCTAAACTTGGGTAAAACAACACCACTTTTATTTAATTAAAACCAAAAAAGACCCATGTGCCCCAAAAATAACTGCCAGCTCGCGACCGACTTACCCGTCAACTGACCTACGATCTGTCCTGGTCAAGTGTCGTTTGATTCAGAGAATTTTGGCTTTTTTAGGGGCCTGGACCACGGACCGTGATCTAACCGACGGTCTGTTGGTCAGGTCGTGGTTCCATGACTTCTGAAATCTTGGGTCTAAGCCGAGGAGATCAACCACGGACCCACATACGGTCCGTGGTCCCAACCACGGGCCGTGGTTGGCCACCGTCGATCGGCACCTGCAACTTTCTAAATTTGTTGTTTTATCTCTTTTCGAATTCGAGGTGTTACAATCATCTTCTGTGGATGGAGGTTCTGATACATCCTCTCTGTCTCTTTAATACTTTAATGTATCAGCATTCTATGTAGGTTAAATCCAACAAGCCAATGTTAATCAACCCCAAATAATAATGAGTCAACAATTGAAACTTATACTACATTATTTATGAATAAGAAATTTTTGAATTTTAAACATAATGTATCTAATACACTTATGAATGTATCGTAAAATTCAAGTTGCGGTTGAATGATTAAATAATGTATCATGAAGTGTTAGATACTTTAATGAGTATTTGATACTTTAAATGAATGCATATGATTCTTACCTCTCTGACATCGTGTTGGTGTACGTGTGTTTGTTCTTCAGCCTCTACATCAGCATTATCGACGAGGTCGTTGTTGGCAAACTCCATATCAATTGGAGACCTTGGTTGTTCAACAAATTGATCAGTAGTTTAGGGTTGATTAACATTGGCTTCTTGGATTAACTCTTCCTCTGTGATTGAAATCGATTTGGCAGAAATTTTCTTCAAGCCAAAAAAATACCACATAATGAAAAAATAGCTTTACAAATAGTAAATATTTGGTTAATAACAAGTACCTTCTATTTTAGCTTCCGAACTGCTTTCATCAGATCTGTGTGATTATTTTTTATTAAGACTTCTAAATCCTCAAACTTTTTGTCAACCTTTAAACAGATTTAAATGAGTTAATATTGATTTACTGTAGAATAAATAATAATTCAATAATAATTATGAGAATCACTTACATATTCCTTCAGATATTGCTTAACTTCTTCGATATCTGTAATATTTTTCTTTTCTTTAGGATCAAGTGAAGGACCATGAAGATCGGGAACATTACCAGAAGATTCTGGAATAGAGAATGACTCTTTTTGTATCACGGGAGACTGTTCTGGTTGTTCCATTGCACTACTTTTTTGTTTGGCCAAATCAACTTTCTTTCTTCTCTTCGGGGGTGGTATAGATGAGGCACTAGATACACATGTAGTTCTCCTTAAAATTTGATCAGGTGGTTTAGAAGAAAAATCCTCAAATCCAGGAACGTCTTCTAATATAGCTTGTGTAGGTTTATCAGTAGACGTAGAATGTTCAGAATGAGAGACACTCATATTGTCAGGCAAATCAAGTACCGCCAATTCCTCAGGAGTCGGTTGTATATTGGTACATGCATTCTAAGTCAAATTCGTAAAGTCAGCATAACAAGAAGATTTGCAACTTGAGATATATAAAAAATGGTAGTTACCTCAGTAAAAATACTAGACATGAACATTTCAAATTTGGGCTTGACACCAACAACTCGCCAGTTGCGTATCCTAGGGATGTAGTCTCCCTCTTTAACAGCAGTTTCATCGTTGATAACTGACGCACATTCATATACCCACACATTTAGAGCATAGGGCATGCCACCTAAACGATACATCTGTTTTACTTTGGTTCTCTCTTGCCTCCATGAATTCATTAACCTGAAAAATGCACGCTGACCCCAAGGAAAATGTTGATATCTACCATCTTCAACCATCAGAAAGTCGTTAACATGGATAGATGCATCAGATAGTTGTGATAAAATAAATGTGTTGATGAAGTAAAGAATTCCCATTTGGAAAGCATCCTGACTATTGTCCCAACTACCTTGTAGAAAACGTTGAACAAATTGTCCCTTGCTCACACTATTATACTTTACTAAATCTGGAAAATATCTTTGAACAAGCCTGCTTTTAGTAGAATTCGGATATTTAAAGTCATCGGGATTGCCTGTGCATTTCAGACCGGTTATTATTGCGAATTCTTTTATAGTGAAATGCAATATGTTCCCATTTGCATGCCGAATGTGTAGCTCATTTCTGTTATCCTGCTCAAGCTCAAGAAGCAACAAGCATTTTGATATTTGACCTTGATAATTGCAGGTATGAATATCGAGGTATGGCCCAAAAATAGAATTTTTAAACAACTCGATACCCTCGACACCCATGTACATATTCAAATCTTTTATAAAATCAATATTGTATGTTGGACCAAACTTCAAAGAGTGAGTTGGAATTTGTTTGATCACATACTTCAGAGACTGTAATGGACAAAAAACAATAGCAAACAGTTACATATTATTCTAGAATAACATGCTAATAATGATACCAAAAAAAAAAAAAATGTTACACATGATACACTAATTGTCAACATTTATACATGATACACTAATTGCCAACATTGATACATGATACATTAATTGTCAACAGTTTAATTTGATACAAACATTTCCCAACACTTATACATGATACAAAAATCTGACCAATATTTAATACTGATACAAAACAATGACATACAGATAAATAATGTTAATCTGATACAAAAACTAATAGAAGTTTAACAGATACAATAATTAATATGAAACTAAGTATCAGATACACACACGGATAAACAAATCTTGAATGATACATTATTGAATATTATTTTGTGTCAAATGACAAGAGATCTAATGACTGATACACAACTAATAATATTATAATACTTGATACAAAATATATTATAACTTAACATAATTAGAGTCAGTGAATCCACTGATTAAAGATAATAGTGATACATTAAACTACGAACATGAATTTAGTGGTTTATGTATCATCTATTGATTAACTAACAAAAAAAGTTTAAAAATCAATAGAAGAAGATCGAAAACCTAACCTTAGGTAATGAAGGTCGAGAAACTGCAGGAGCAAATTTTCGACCCCTTTTTTGGAGGTTTTTTTGAACCTGTGCTTTCGAAGATGAAGGTCCATCCGTTTTCAACTTCCCAACTTTTGCCTTCGCCATTATTAATAGATCGTGGAACTTTTTTGATCTGTTTTCAGCCCACTCAATATCTTCGTAATCATAAATACGACGAGTGCTAGTTGATGGTGCATCATCCATCTGATTCAACAATTAGGAGAACAAAAAAATAAAAAATAAAGTCACAAAACGATTTAATAATATGGAAAGAACTACCGATTTCAGTTTAGATTAGGTTTGACAAAAAAGAGACTTGATTTTGAAAAAAAATATAGAATTAACTATCAATAAAATGGAGAGAAAATTAAGGAGTGAAATCAGGAACTGATAAAATTTGATTTTTGGAGTTGAAATTTATCTATCCGGCAATTTAGATTTAGGAGTAAAATAAGGAATTTTAGAAATTTTTAGAAATGGGAGGGAATATTGAAAATTAGGAAAACAAAAGATGTGTATAATGGTAATTTTTCCTACAATTTATTATGATTGCATACATCAATATAGGGGGGGAAAATAAATATACCCCGAACTATCGTAAATGATGTACAGATACCCTCCGTCATACTTTTGAGACATTGGTGCCCCTACCGTCTAAAAACTAGAGCATATATATACCTTTTATACTAACGGACTTACACGTGTCATAATCTTATCCACAGATCCGACATATATTTAAAATCGAATCAACAAATAAAATTACGCACATGTCCCTATTTAGTCTTCCGTTAGAGTGAAGGGCATATATGCTCTAATTTTTGGACAAGGTATATTTGTCCTTTTCCCCTATCGAAATTAAGTGAACGCATACAATCTATAACAACCTGATAATACACAAGTTCCGAACTCACATTTCCAAGTATAAATTAAGGAATTTTCTATAGCAAAGATTGAAAAATGTATTTTCTATTTTCAATAACCTTTAAAGAATTTCAAGAACCAAAAGTCCAAAAGTAACTCTGTGCCGGCCTTTTTTTTTCTTCCTGTTAAGAGCCAGTGCAAAAATTCAAGAAATGGGGGTTAACCTAATGCAATTTAACCTAAAACTAGAATGTGACTTGAGCATTTACAGGGTTAACTCCTTATGAGAAGTCCAGGCCTCGATGAGGCTGAAAATCAAAATCATCTACCTCGCTTATCGATCTCTTCATTAAGAAGCCGAGTCATTAAACCTTGATTAGGGGTCAAATTATTGGTTTTGAGAAGATTGTTCAATGCATGAAGTTCTTCACAGTTTGCCTTCTTAAGTAGGCCACTCAGAACTGTATCAACTCCAGTAGGATCATTTGAGATCTCGGATTTTATATTGAGTTTTGAACGGTCCACAACTAGGGAAGATTGTACAGTCTGCATCAACGGTTTAGATTTCCAGAATTCAGAACATACCCGGTTTACATCCATATCTTGAATGGCCTGCATTGATATGAAAAGATAATGTCAAGACGAGATCTTTTAAACTTCCCTTCAACTTTCATTTTGTTCCACATTTTTTTTATCTATAATAAGATAATAGACAACTGAAATTTTTCTCAAGATTAGAAGTTAGTGAATCCTGGATCTAATATTAATTTGAAGAATATATGTGAAAGAACCTGTACAATCTCTGTTGTAGAAAAACCAAACATTTCCATGCCCTCAACACTTCCAGGTGGTTGCAAAGGCAGAAGCTTCGGCTTTCCCAACTTATGTTGCTTTAATATTTCTTGGTTCACTCTCTCGCGGACCATATCCCAGCATTTGATAGGGGACAAGTGAACAAACACTTCACTGGGACAACGCTCAAGTGAAACCTGCAAGTTCATTTATCTGCTTAAAAAGAGACTAGAAAGGCAGGAAATAGCATAACAATATGACACCACAATGGCATGAATAACCAAATAATACACAGATATAGAGATGTCAACTAAGCTGGCACATGAAGGAAAACCAAAAAAAAGGGTAAAACAGGAAAAGCCGTGAAGTAAGCCTCAATACTGTAGGCTTTGAATATTATACCAATACAAGACTAATTCATGTAAGCTAATATAGACCTCTGGTCTAAAGGGATGAAAACTTGTAGCAGTCAAACTTGCCCTTACAGCAAACTACAACCAAAGAAAAACTCACAAAGCTTTTGAAAGAAATAATAAGTCTGACTAGTAGCCAATACTTGGAAATCTGCTGGAGAGATAGCAAAGCTTCATGGAGAAACCCCTTGATGATAAATGTTTAATACACATGTTATCAAACTAACAAGAAAATGAAGTGCGGCTCAACTCTACATGGAAAACTTAATGCAGAAGAAACATGAAAGGAACTGCAGCAGAATTAAGTGCACCACAATATCCCAAAATAAGAATTAAAATGCCACAGGCACACACAAAAATCAAAATCTGACAAATAGCTCCATCCAAACAGAATATCCAATACCATAAACAGTGGGCCATCTCGTCCTGCATCTACAACTTCAGAAACATAGTGAGACATATTTGTTGGATCTAAAACATCAATGTATCTGACCCGGCTCCTGAATCCTGCATTTAACAAAAGAACAAAGTTGTCTATCATTACTTCCAAGAGTAGAGTAAAAATAATACAATTATTTCACATGTATTATACCCTTGGGATAAATAACCCGGTTGTCACACCATAACTTGCCAGGCTGGATAACTCCATAATCCAGAGGTTCCACATTGCAAGAGAGTCTCCTCACCACTTTTGCAATCCGAGGACCTTTCTGGCGAAAACCTCTGTCCAAATTGTTTTGAGAGACGGGAGAGTCACCTGATAAAGGTTGTGCACACTCCATGGCCTTATTTTGACTACCTTCTTTATTTGGTTTACAGTCGAATGGTTGCCGGGACTGGGGACAAGTATCTGCATCTCTGATATTACCGCCAGAAGTCCCTTTTGTAACCTGAGGGCCTTGGGCATGTTTATCAATATCCATATTTACAGACGAACCTCCAACGAAAGAATGAGTATCTTGATTAGGTCCACGATGTATTTCATCTTTTGAATTATCCTCAACTTTCATGCTCTCAATGGATGTTGTTGGGACAGGTTTATCACTGTTACCCATGTTCACTGTCAGCTTTCCCGCAGTATCTTTCGAAGGAATTGGATTGTCCATCTCATCTCCCTCATCATCACTGAGCAGGATCACAACATCATCAAGACTTGAAGTTCCCTTCACTTCACGTTTATCTGTTGATAATTTTTTATGACACGAACCACCCTCAACGGACAGCTGAGTAACTGGAGTTCTATAAGCAGGAACCACCTTTAAGGATTCACTTTTGCCCTGGAAGCCATTCTGTGCCCCCTCAATTCCATGAGAAGTGTTGTCAGGCATAGAAGACGCCTTGATTGATTCCAAAGCTAATGGCTCCCTGGATTGTTTATCTTTATGCAATGAAAAAGCACTGCTGCTGGCCCTCATCAAGAGTGCTGAAGTTCCATCATCTTTTTCCTTTTTCATGGAATCTATAGAGAGTCCTGCGCTTGCCTCTTTTAGCACTGATTCCGCAGGTTTAAGAGATAATTTACTAGCACTCCCTGCAACTTGTCTCTCTTTATTTACATAAGAACTCAAAGCCAATCCAAGATCTTGTCTTGCCCATCGATAAATTGCACTCAATTTCCCTTCTAAAGCATCAACTAGTACATTTAATTCATTGATGTCATAACGGAAGAGGAAAAATTTGGCACCCCAGGAACAAGTACACAGTTGTTTTGCATGGTTCAAGCATGCATATTTGTCGGGCGAACAATTGTGACATCCCGCCGCGGACAGGTGTAGATCAAAAAAACACACACTGCATTCCCTCTCATTAGTAGCATCAAAAGTGCTCTCCATCTTTAGTGCTTGTGAAGAATTGCAAAGAAACTCCCTCCTGACTCTCTCCATCTCAACACGGTTCTGCACAAAACATAACTCAGCAGTGAAGTTGAATAAAGAGGTACTTGACTCAGTAACATAATTTATATGAACATAGAACTTGAATGTGGTATAAGTGTGACTACCTCTATAAGTATCGGTCTAACCCCAATAACCCCGCACCCCCATCTCTTCTCTTTTAAAAAAATACAAGGAAGAACATAGGAAAATATACCCTCAATGCAACAGAAAACGGAAATGGAACTAAGGACCATCAATCGATAGAATATTGGTGTCATTATGTGCACATTTGCCTAAAGACTGCAGCTATTATATCCAAAAAATTCTACCTTTAATGCTTTGGACAAAACTCCATCTTTTCCGCAAACATCTTTCCATCTTAAATTATTTGAGGTATTCTTCCTCAATAAATTAAGTTCCCAGTGCGCTTTGACTGCATCTCGAGCTGCTCCTAATAATAGTTTATCATGGGATATGGAAGTTTTCCGGCCTTGCTCACGGTAATGCTCAATTGCATTCTGTCCATGGGGTAACCAATCAACAGGAGCAACATTTACTGCTTCAGCACAATTGAAGCCACAATTGAAACCAGCATGATATGCTCTTGGGAAGGTCAAAACAAACTCTCCAGGATTTTGGACACAACGATAAACTGGGACTCCGTCAGACTTCAATATGGAGGGAGATAGTTGTGTAACCTGCATAAATAACAGGTTATTACTAAACAAATAAGCCACCTATAAGAAGATGTTCCAACTTCTGTGAAGCAAATTAACTGTCACAGATTTGTAAAGAATAATCTACTACATGACTCATCAGACAGATCCTCCACAAGAAGAGTAAGATTTACAGTAAGACAGTTTCTTGTTTACATTTCAATTTGATGAGGACCCTATAGCATTGCAACACTATGAATGGGATCACATATCACCTATAGCTCACAACCCTAAAAAAACGTGGCAGTAGAAGAGGTTATTCAGCAAAATAAGTCATTCTTGAACAGGGATTACCAACAAAGAGACATGTATTAGGACTCAATTACTTTTTTGATCAAATGAAGATTGGGCTCACCAGCTTGTGAAGAAGGTCAGGCTGCTCTTCAAAGAGATCAGGCAAGTGTTTCCTCATAGCAGCCTCCAACTTTGATGCATCTGCTCCAGGCACACCATACCACATTTTTGGAGCCCCAAAATGCATGTAATTTAATGAGTATAAATGGTGATCTTCAACATGCTGTTGGGTAAAAATTTAGAAAAGAGAATTGGTAAGTAAATAAGACAAAAGCCCAAGGGTTGTTATATTTTCAGGTTATTAAAGAAAAGAATGATCATCCAAATCATATATTTCAAGCAAACTAAATTACAGTGCTACCCAATTCAAATGAAAAGGATTATCAAGAGCTGACCCAATAACAACTAGTAACTATTTTCCAAAAATCTGAACTCAAGAAGACAGCCTTTAAGAAGTTCCTCCTCAATGCAAAAGAAAGGAATATTCACAATCAAGCAATCACTAATACCACCCATAGATAGTTCGAATAAACATGATCAAGAGATTTACTCGATCAGCACTTGTGCATATTTCTAGTCTTATTGAAGGTTTTACAAGTTCTTTTTCTGAAAAAATATTATTTATAAGCTCTTTAGCAGAAGTATAAAATTTTGTTGCAAAGAAGCTTACGGGATCAAAACAAAATTGTAGGAAAGAGGCATATGATAAAGGTATGTGCTAATTATATTTCAACATGTCAGAGCAACCCTATTAAAAATAAATAAGCACCTGCAGATCTACACAGTCAACAGATAGACTTGCTGAGATAATTGCACCCAATAAACTTCAGTTTACCACAGTACATTATGACGCAATTGAGGGGAACTATTCAACTTACCCAACAGAACGATGAAAAGCACATTCCTATGTACAGCCAAGGCACCAAGACACCAGATATATCACTGCTCTCATATGTAAGAACAGAACCTGTAAGCCTTGGAAAATTATTCAAGTTCCACCCTGAGTTCACATACTTGGTGTCAGAAGAGCCAACTTGATGGTCATGTTTAGGGAACCCACTTCCAAATACTCCAGTTTCCAAGTCAGCCCCATAAAGCACCTGGGAAATGATGAAAAAGGAAGACAGAAAGGAGGAAAGTGTTATACATCCTAGATGGTTTCCATAAGAAGAAAAAAAAATAGTCAACAACGAATGCCACCTCAATCTCTTCGGTGGGTTTCTCAACCATCCGCCAATATTCACCCTCAATGTTCTCCAATGAGGGACATTGTCCTTCACTTTGCCTGAAGTACTGGGCCTTAAAATCATCTGCATATTTCTGAAATGCATCCAGAGTAAACTCTGGACCAGGTTCAAATCCAAACCTCTCAGTATCACCAAGGTTCCTATTGTCAACACTACCATTACCCAGGTCTACTCCAGGTTTTGAGCATCTTCTTCTTTTCTTCTTCTTATGAATATTAGCTTCCCACATCCTTCTCATCGAATCTCGATTCTGAAGTTTGTCAATCCTCTGAATACGGGTAGCAAATTTGGATTTCTCCCATATAATTTTTTCCTCAAGAGGGCATGGGGGTTTCCACGAAGCAGGTGGTACTATGCGACAAATTCCATATGCCTCTGCTTTGGTGCGTATGCTAGCCATATATGTCAGGGTATCTTCAAATTCCTGGAGATTGGAAAAAGTTGTTGAGAAAACTTCACCAGAAAAGACTCATAAAATTTCCTTCAACTTATGGGATAACGAAAGTGAATGGGTGGTGTGTTTAGGTAGATATACTGCAAGGAGTTAATTAGCCAATTAAAATAGGACCTCTTCAGTTGGATAGAACACTGGAGCGTCCCCAAGATCGGGCCTAGAAGCTTCCTCTGGCCGCCATCTCGCAGTTACCTGTTCCAAGCTTGAAACTTTAAAACAGCATATACATGTAATAGACCTACAGCTCTCTATGTTGTCTCATATCTCCTATAGCTTTATGTTTGTGAATTCAACTCCATTGGCAGCTAAACACTTTTTGGGACCAGAGTATTAAGTGCTGCTCTTATGTTAATTACCAAAACGCTTAATTAAGATAGCCATAATAGGCTGATAAAATGAAAAGCAGTTCACTCCATATACTGACCCTTTGGCAATTGAGACACCCTTCACATCCTCGGATGACCCCTTTTGGAAGTGAATGCCTTACAGAGGTATTCTGCACAAGAGGAAGAGAATATGAGAGGTGCGGAAGTAAACTTTTTGGAAGTAATAGGCTAGCTACTCAACCTGATCGGAACCAGATTCATCTTCTGAGCTTTTCTCATATTTCCCATAGTTTACCCCAGGTTTACGCCTAAGTGACTTCATCATCTTTCCATCTTCATGACCTTCAATACTTGTTTCTACCTGACTTCTATCTGATTTTGACTCACTCGCTGTGGATGACTGATTAATCATTAGTCGATTATTTTCCACCTGTTTTAGGGTGAAGGGTGCAAGTGACTCAAAACCAGGTGGAATTGCTGAAATGTCCATATCTTCTTCTTTGATGCAATGTCTAACAAGTTCGGTCCCCATCCTCCAGACTGCGAGAAATCAATAAACATGTCAGAAATCAAGTCAAGAGACTGCATTCTCAAGTTCCCTTCATAAAATATGGAAGAAAACCGAAGGTGTACATGCAGACTCAAGAAGAGCATATAGCTACTTGAGACAAAAATCAGACAGCCCGAACTGAATGCACAAATTGATAATTATGATTATTCTCTGAGAATCTTTTTAACATATGAATCCTCCCACGTGAAGCTTAAAATCCATGTAAAGAAAACAACCAAATATATGATAATCTTTCAAGAGTGGGTGCTGCTTGTGCACTAATATATACATACAAATACACAAAAGAACTCTTCAATCAGTCCACCAACTTTATCAGACATAGATCCCAAAAAAAAGTACAGATCTACGAAAACAGTGAAATGCAACAACATGAAGGCATAACCTGCTAGAGTTGAGCAAAAAACAGTGTTCTGCATCTGACCTGAACAATGTGGTACAAGCAAGTTGTCGTTCGTTCAAGAATTATAATGGAATTAGAAAAAAAATTACAATATAACAGATTTATCTAAGGAATTTACCCAGTAGAGTTTTCAGCCACAGCATATATTCATTACTCAGTAATAATTTTGCTTAAATTAAACAAGTCAACAACAACAACATACCTAGTGTAATCCCACAAGTGTGATCTGGATAAGGTAGAATATACGCAAACCTTACCCCTACCCCTACCTTGGGAGGTAGAGAGGTTGTTTCCGTAGAAGCATATCAAAGCAGAACAAAAAAGAAACAACTAAAGTGAAACCCTTCACAGCAAAATACAATAGAAAGCATGACAAAACACTCTGGAAAAAAAAAACAATAGCTACACTAAAAAGTGCGATAATCAAAGTACAAGCGACAACAGATAGTAACAAACAGTGAAACACCCTAACCAAAACTATGATCAATTTTAGGATGATCATCAACTCACCAAAAATTATCCAATTAATCAAAACATTCATTCATAGACACAGTAAAATCACCAAAATAACCTTTCTTAGAAATTCAGAACAGAACCATATATACTTACATATTCTTGATCCACTGACCTAAGAACCTTCAACTCCAGTTCTCTACATCCATTCAAAAAAATAAAAATCAGTACCCAAAAAAAAATCAAATCACAAAACAACAACAACAAACACAGTATAATCACCTCAAGTGGGGTCTAGACACAAGATAACATGTACGCAGATTTTACCACTACCTTCATCAAATCACACAAACAGCTCAAACAAATAATTACATAAATTTAAAACAGTAAAAATCAAACACAAACCAAATATTCATAATCAGATTCAACAGATCTAAGCTTTAATCATATGCACAACCTTTAATTAAAAATTAAATTTAAAAAAAAAAAAAAACTAACCCTAACCCAGTACTGAAACAAAGATGGTACCCACCATAACAGCTCCTGGTCAACAAAAAAAAAAATCCAATCCACTTGTAATTTGCTTTCAATTTCTCACCCGGAATACCAAAAAAAACCTAATTTTTTAGACGAATCTGTAATCCAGAAAAATTAAACACTAAATTATAGATTGTGAAAATAATTTAAGAAATCCAAATACAGATGAATGAATCCTCTTTTAATTTTTTTCTTTTTTTTCCTTTTTTTTTCTTATTTTGGTAGGGCTAAATTCGGATAAAAGATCGGATAAAGGTACACCGCTTGAAAGAATTATTTTTGATTTACCTTAAGAGGAAAAAAAATTGTGAAATAATAATAATAGTAACAATAATAATGAAAAGAAGAACCTTAACCACTATAAATGAACAGACTCGTGCACTAAGACTCTCGTTATGTATATGATCTGAGAAAAGAAGTTGAGTTATAAGGACTTGTAATGGTTGCGTTAAAACTCTTGATATGTGTGAAATTTGGAAGAGAGTCAAACTACGAGGATCTTTAAGTTCTCGATATATATGAAATTTGAAAAAGAGTCGAAACACGAGGATCTTAAACTCTCGATACGTGTGAAATTTGGAAGAGAGTCCGACCACGAAGATCTTACTTTTATCTCAACAGGATAAAATTATAATTTTTAAAAAAAAATGTTATACAATATGTTAATTTTCTGTGTTCTATATAATCTATGGGAAAATTTCCACCTTGAAACTCTACGCGTGTTTGAACGTGCCCAATTTCTTTAGTGAAACGTTTTGTATTTAATTGTGTAAGTGTACTATTTATTTACTTTATATTTATAAAAAAAATAAAAAATTCATGTAATAAAAAAAGGTTGTTATTCCAAGTACTAGAAGGATTTGGTTGAGAATTTAATTGAGTATTAACGTACTTTGTGGTTTGTTGGTGGAAAAATTATTTATTTGTTCTTTTTTATGAGCAAGAATGATAATAATATAGTCAATATAATTTAATAAGGAGAACTTAAATTAATATAATATACATAAAAGTTATCGACAAAAAAGATATTTTCGGCATATTTTTAACTTTAAAAGAAAAGGAAATTAATATTTTAAAAGAAGTTTAGTAAAATTTAAATAAATTATTTAAAAAGGAAAAAAATGAAAGAGTTAAAGAATTATTCTTACCGATGATTATTGGCATGAATTGTGAGGGGGTAGAGAGAGGAGTGTGCTTTATTGGAAGTGGAACCTTTGATTCTAAGTTTTATAAAAAGCATATAATATATGCATTATATGTGGATACATATTCTTTATTTATAAAATATCTCAAGGAAGTGGGCAATATTTTCCTTTGTTTAATAGGATAATGAAAAGTTTTATAGGGACACTTTTTGCAAAGTCAAAATTGGTTATGGGCTTAAGCCCAATTGAATTAGGATTTGGTACTTGAGTTTGCTTTGAACATGAAAATCAATTGGATTATTTAGGGTTCGCTTGATAGAGTGTATTAGTAAATAGGGAAAGTATGGGTCAAAAAATGTCCTTAAACTATGCGAAAGAAACAAAAATGTCATCCGTTTGTAGTTTGGTTCAAAAATGTCTATGCCGTCAATACATTGGTCCAAAAATGCCCTTATGGGTCAAAAATGCTCATTTTTCAAATAAAATATATAATTTATTTTCTTTTTTAATACATTCTTTTTCTAATAATATTTTTAAAATTAGCAAATATTTATCTTACTTCAATTCAGAATAAAATAAAAAATAAAAATATTTTTTATTTTATTGTAATTATTTTTTATGATGGATATACTATGATCTTATATATATGGTCCTTGTCGTCAATACTTTGGTCCAAAAATACCCTTATTGTTGTTTAATGGGTCAAAAATACTCATTTTCCAAATAAATAATATTATTTCTTTTTTAATACATTCTTTTTCTAATAATATTTTTAAAATTAGCAAATATTTATCTTACTTCAATTCAGAATAAAATAAAAAATAAAAATATTTTTTATTTTATTGTAATTATTTTTTATGATGGATATACTATGATCTTATATATATGGCATATATTATTTGTTGAAAGGGTACATGAAGTTATTCTATTTTAATTGATAAAATGAGATTAAGAAGAAAAAAAAATGTTTCTACATTTTTAGTTGTTAAAGTGATTTTAATAGAAAGAAGACAAGAACAATGTTTTTTAATAATATGTTAATTAGGAAGAAGACATGTTTAAAAAGAAAAAATAATATATTTATTCGGAAAAGGGAATTTTGAAGTTTTTACCAAAGTAAGCCATTATTTAAATCAATTCACCAAAATAATATGTTTTTTTGAAAATTTACAGAACTAGTATAAATGTATTCCTAAGTAACGTTTTAGGCTATATTTTATTAAAAAAAAATTGACGCATAAAATATATGGGCTGACGGCGTTAAATAAAGAAATGTTATTGGTGGTAACGTTTTAAGCATAAAACGTTACTGCCAAATACGTTTTATGATTCATTACTCGAAGGCGCGATTTATAGCTAAAACGTCACTCACAGTGACGTTTCTTTAAAATTCAAACAGTTGCTTAGTACGTTTTTTTGTTAATGTATCAGTTACTTTTTAACTGTTTACGGGTTTTAATTGTGTTTAGTTGAAAGGATCTAGTAATTCTAAAAAGTGGAGAAATTAAAATATTCACATATAAAAGAATTTTTGAATTCTTACAAGTGTAGAAAAAATTTACGTGTTCAAGAAATAATTTATAGAAATATTTCACTGTCAGTCATGCGATTTTTCGGTCGTTGTCTCACCCACAATTTCCATATATATATCCAACATTTGTTTTCAAGTAAGTTACTTCAAGATTTTCTAAATATCAGCTCTCTCTATCTATTAAATTTTAATTTTTTTTAGTGATGTCTTCAATTTTAGGTAAATTTTAATTTAATTTATTTTAAAATTTTGAGAATCAATTATTAATTATTATTGTTTTGTAAAAAAAAATTCTTTAAATAGTTATATTAACATTAACAATTTTTTTGATTTTTTTTTAGTAGCAAAATAAAATTTCACTACTTTAGATCCTAATTATTAGGATTCTCGATGGTTTTCAATATTCATTTGCCTATTGGTTCTTTACTCTCCTTTTTCTTAGTATTCTCTACATGTATAATGTTGGTTTTCTAACTCGAGAGTAATTTTCTCTCGCTAGGGTATTAATTTGAGGTGGTAATTTATCACTAAAATTTATCGAACACTTGGCGGAAAATTGAAAGAAAAATCATCACTTTTATTTATTTGTTTTATCCTTTTTGTTTCACTTGATTTTCACAAGAAAAATCCAATAGAACATGGTTATGCTCACAAACATAGCTTATTCAAAAGGGACAAGAACGGAAAAAATAAACGTCGTGCATTGTTGGTATCTTGGATTGAAGTTAGCTCACAACAACTAATTGAAAGGATACTAACACAATTAAAATTCGTGAACAGTTAAAAAGTAACTGATACATTAACAAGAAACACACTAAGAAAACTAGAAGTCTATGTCTGAATTTTAAAGAAAATGTTACTGCGAGTAACGTTTTAGCTATAAAATGTGCCTCCGAGTAACGAATCATAAAACGTATTTGACAGTAACGTTTTATGCTTAAAACATTACCACCAATAACGTTTCTTTATTTAACGCCGTCAGCCCATATATTTTATGCATCATAAAAAATTTTAATAAAATATAGCCTAAAACGTTACTCAGGAATACGTTTATACTAGTTTTGTAAATTTTCAAAAAAAACATTATTATTTTTGGTGATGAATTGATTTAAATAATGGCTTACTTTGGTCAAAAATTCGGGAATTTTTGACCCGTTTAGTAACTATAGGGGCATTTTTTAACCAAAGTATTGACTACAAGGGCATTTTTGAACCAAAGTATTGAAGACAACGTCATTTTTGAGCCAAACTATAAACAAAGGGCATTTTTGTTCCTTTCACATAGTTTAAGGGCTTTTTTGACCCTTTTTCCCTAGTAAATATAATAGGTGTATTAGTTTTGTATTGTAGTAATATATTGTTTGGTACTTATATTATGTATAACTAATGCAATCATTAGTTATATATTTTAGGATCGTTTTATTTATAAAGATATCTTTCACAAGTATGGTTGAAAATATGTAAAAAGATTTTGAGGGGCAATGGGATCTTTAACCATGTTAATGCATGCGTTAAAACTCATAGCATTACTAATGCCTAGAAATTCATGATATTAGTAATACACACCTTAATACACAATAGAGTGTATAACTAATGTTTCATAGCATGAAAAAGAAAAAGTTATTATCCGTTCGATATGGTAAGAGATTTATATATATTTGATAAAAACGAATTTCTTGTAATGAGAATAAAATTAAAGTTCTCTACTTACATGTTTTGAATTCAAATTTTGTACTCTAACTATTTTATAGAAGGAAACTGTCAAATTTTTTAGAAGTTAGAGCCAGTACTGATCGCCTCTCCCTTAGAAAGCTCTTTGTCTTGGGGAGGCCCGGCGAGAAAGATTGAAATGGATCTCAACAAACCCCCGCTTTCGGATGACGAAATTGAAATTATAAAATGATAGATTTGCACATATATTTTTTTAGATTTTCTTATATTTTGAAATAGATCGATTTTGTTATTCTGTTCGTTTTATTTTACATAAAGAAATTTGAGTAATAAGATCAAATCTCTTATTTTTCTTTTGTATGAAAAATAAAATAAAAAAATTCAAGTTAATTATGAACCGTTAACCGTTAAAGAGGGGAATATGACATATTCAAGTCATTAGCAATAATATTATGCTTCATTTTATTCTCCATAAATCAAGACCTATATCTTTTTTTTGTCATTAATTTTATTTTGAATCATTAAGGTTAGAGTTCTTCTCACAAGAATAATCAGAAGAAAAAACAGTGAAGAGAGAAAAAAAATAAGTTAAAGATTTAATTTCACACAAAGATGAATTTTGTTAATATAAACCTAAACTATA